GAATAATCTTTATTTAAGCTAATTTAGAATTATAGTTATTTACTTTTATTAATTATAGTAATTAAATTGGTAAAGTTTAATTAGCTATACCTTTAAGCTTAGCTTATATTAATTTTAACTAGTTTACATAAATTAAATGTAATTAATTAAAGTCAGCGTATATTAAGTGTAATTAAACTAATTAAGTTCTACCCTATAAACTTACCTATAGTATGTTTAATTAAATTAATTATAAACTTAGTTTAAGATAAATTCAAATAAAAGAAATTAAGTTAAATTAAATTAATGAAACTTTGCTTATAAGTTTGATTGTTTTAATTAGGTATACCTTATATGTAAAAGATATTTAAATTAATTTAAATGAATTAGACCTAGTTTTAATGAATTTGATTAGATATACTTTATATCATATAAATAAGGAATTAGTAGGGTAGCCCAGTAGTAGTCGAAAGAGAGTTAAAGTAAATGCATGAAGATCTAAATTTAATTATTATCGTTATAATCTTTTTTATAGATAAAAAAAGAAAAAAAGGTGTTTTAGATTAGAATTTGAAAATGCTATAAATCAAATCAAATCGCACTTATTTGTAAGTATATATATTTTTTCTAAATACATAGTACATGTATATATATAAAATTGACATATAACATAAAAGGTGTTTTATAAATTATAATATACTTAAGGTGTTATAATTATATGCATTATAATATACTTAAGGTGTTATAATATATTTCCAAATATACATTATAATATTTAAAAGATATTTTATAAAATTATAAGTTAATTAAGTGAATTTTAAAATTACTACAAGAAATATTACATATAATTATATACAAAGAAATGATATAATATACATAAGTATAAATTTACTTGACATATAGTTACACACAATTTTAGTGTTGATTTTGAATGAGATTCAACAATATATATTGTGTGTCACTATAACATATACTTATATTTTTTTTAAAATATACCAACATATATTATATTTATAGGGTAAGTAAAAGTAACTTTTAGTAACAAGTATTATGTCACAATAAGATATATGTTATCATTTAACTATTTTTTTGTCGTGAATGCAAAATTATGATTAAATTATAACATTCAAAAATAATTTTTTTAAATGACAAACTATATATATGAGAAAAATTTATTTAATATGATAACTAAAATTATAGTGAAAAAATATTTTTATTAAAATAATAAAATAATAATTAGTATTAAATACATTAAGTGATTGAAATATTTAAGTATTGACATATTTTTACTTTATTTTTTTTACATATATTCTTAAACAAATAAGATATTACATATTTTTAATTGATTTTTAAATAATATTTTGAAAATTGTAAAACTGAATCAAACCAACAATTTAATTTGGTTCAAATTTTATAATTCATTTAAATCAAAGCATACTTGATTTTCTTGTTTGATTCAAATGATTTTTAAGACAAAAATCAAACCAAATAAAATATAAAAAAATTCATTCACTTTAGTATAATAAGGAAAAAAAATAATTATGAGTATGACCACTAATATGTTATTGTATCTTCTAATTGTTTAAGGAAGAACACCCACTATTTTAGGCGAAAATTTTAAAATAATGATGAGTCATGGGTAAGATATTTTCTTCAAATTGAGAACATGTAGAATTTCATGCATTTGCTTTTATAATCGTATGTTTTTAGGGTCTTTTAGCTTAAGTTATAACAGTTTATTAGTTATGTATGAAATGTCATGTTCTGTTGTTTAATTGACGAGTGTTAGACGTAATTTACAAGTAACTTAAAGGAACATTAACTTTTTAACTTATTTTAATGTCATTTTTATTATTTATGAGGATATAATTATTTTGGATCATTTTATATACGATTACATCAGCATGGGGTAATTTATTATATTACAAGTTTTGGTTTGAGTTTAAAACAAATATATTTTAAAAAAATTATATTATACATTGATTAATATAATAATAGACATAAAAATTTCGCACGTATGATGTACAAGGCTTATTTTTATGTCAATTCAAAATTTATCGTAAAAATAATTAATGATATATTTTTCATTAGTGATAATTCTTGGTATACATAAAATTTCAATAATATAGTGTGTTTGTTTTGTTGATAATATACATTTTTATGTAATTATGTGAAATAAATTTTTTGAGTGAATGTATATTTGTCTTTCTTTGCCAATTGAAATCCAAACACACTACTACTAGCTATTAAGCTAAATATTTTTTTTTTTTTGTTGAATATATCAATTTTACAAATTTTTATAACGTTTAAAAAATATTTTACTCTTCGTTATATATATATATAGAGAGAAAGAGAGAGATACACAAGTAAATAGAGATAAGTGATTAAGTTACTCAAAAAATTATTTCATTCAATAATTTATTATATATATTAAATTTAAACAATCCAAAAAGTTATACTAAAAGTTCTTATAATTTTTTTTTATAATTCTTTACAACTTACAAGACTTTAAAGTTATTTAATATTCATTTCATAAAATCAAATTCACATATAATATGTTTTTATGAAGAAAAAAATTATTATAAAAATAGACTACCTAGTTTAGAAAGCTTTTTAAAGATTATAAAAAAAATCATTTAATATCAGTATAATTCCATTCATATTAAGGATTATAATCACGTTAAAATGTCTATCATGTAACAGTAATTATACACATATCTATGATATCGAAGAAAGAGAAGAAAAAGAAATTGATGCCATAGATGATGTATTAAGAAAAATAAAAGATTGATAAATTTTGGCATATTTTAATTTAATTTTATATTTTCTTTCCCTTATGGATGAGAGAGTAACAAAAGGGAGCATATACTGCATGGGCATCTTGGTATCCATTCTCGTTGAAATCAAATCACGTGACTGCACAGTGGCTGCTACTAATTAATACTATGAAGTGTGAAAGCAGTGCAACTATGTATGGGATATGCAAGCCCTTCTCTTTGACCCTTTTCGTAGACAAAGCAAATCAAGAAATCAACTTTTGGGATATAAATTCGTTAAATTATGTTTTTAGTTTTCATAAATATGATTTTATTTTGATTTATTTTAAAAATATATTTTAATTTATTAGTTTCACCAATAATTAATTTTTGTTGAATAATTTAATAGATATTTTTTAGTAAGATTTTTTCTTTGAATTATATTTTTCTTTTTACATATACAAAACTCAAACTTGATCTTATTTAAAGAGATCGAATCAAGAAGTACTCAAATCAACGACTTAATGATAATGTATTTTTAAGAATAAAATACACTATTTATTAATTAGAAGATCAATAGTTAAAAATTGTGATTAAAATCTCAATCTCTCTCTCACAAATAAATTTTAAGATTAATAACAATATTAATAGTTAATTTCTTTATTAATAAGACTGTATTGTATTTTGGTCCACCTATTTTTAATTACAAAGTTTTCGTTCCTTCCATACTGTTAATTATCAATGACACGTGGCAAGAAAATATAATAGTTATTTGATAACAATAAGTGGCCTTATGAGTAAGGCAACGTCTAGTTTAATCCCCGGTATAAATTGTATCTTTTTTGGTCCCTAATTTAAACATGTCTCATAAGTGGTCCTTATTTTCATAAATGAGACAAAAAAAAAATATTTTACTTTACTTTTAAAAAGAACAAGGTTTTATAAATACTAATATTTTATCATGTATATTAGTGGCCAAATGTTTATTGTAATAACTAAAATTTATATATATACAAAAAAATATTATATATTTAAAATTATATAAATAGATATTTTAAAATTGATATTTTATTTTATATTTCAGATAAATAATTTATATTATGATACAAGTTTATTTTTAATTATTGATAATTTATTTTAAAAATAAATTTTATACATAAATAAATATGATAAATAAAAAAATAAAATTAATAAAATTTCTAAAAATGTTCAAAGAATAACTCTAAAAGTATTGTTACTTAATATAATTATTTTCGTTTAATATATAGAGGTTAATTTTACACATTTTCATAAATAAAAGATAAAAAAGTGATATATTTTTTAGGTATTAAAAATAAACAATATTTTATTTACAAATGCTAAAAACATATTTAATTCTATTAATTTGGGTTGACGCAAGTGATGAAGTACTCACGTCGTTTAATCAAGTGGTTAAAATTTGAATCCTGATTCTTATGAATGGCAGAAAATTTAAGTTGGAAGAAAATATCTACTTATTTAATTTCTGCAAACTTTCAATCAAAATTGTTTCTGTATTCTACAAGAAATACTCCTCAATAATAAATATATATTTAACTCTTAAATATATTTTTAGTTGAGTCAATTTTTCATAAAAAGTGTTTAAGTAAAAAAAATTTATGACAAATAATTGACGGAATAAAATATATTTTTGATTTCCTTTAAATTGTCTCTAATTCAATTTTTTTTCCCTCAAAATTATTTTGTCATGTTTTTTCCTAAAGTTATTAGAAATGCATCATTTTAATCCATCTAAGTAGAAAATGCACCACTTTTAAATTAGAGAGAGCAAAGTAGTATAATTTATTTTTAGAAATTAAAATTGAACTTTAAAAATTTTAAAGAGATTAAAAATATATTTTACACTAATCGGCCAAAGGCGTGGCAATATTTTTCCAAGCATAAAAATTGAAGGTATTTAAAGCAAAGGTATTTTGGCTGGTGTGAGTTTTAACATAAACTTATTTAGGTAAAATTTGGAATAAATGAAGAACATTATGAGATATTGTTTTGCTCGCCTACTAGCTAATAAAGACCGGAGTCGACACATAAAACAACGCCGTATACAATATATTAGTATATAGAAAGGTATGCAACAATTGATTAATTGGCAAATCAAATTAGCATGAATGTGAGCCAAACTTGTCCTTAGTCATATAATAAAGTGAGAGGGCACGAAGTCTTTGCAACTCCCGAGTCTCACTTTATACGTAGTTTATAAAAAAACAAATAATTAATTGATTTTCTTTCCCTTTGTGTGTGCGAGAGAGAGAGAGAGAGAGAGGGAACCTCCGCGGAAACTGCTATGTAGTTTGAATATGGAAATATGTTTTTCCTATCGTTGGACCATTCTAGTCATGGCGTGCGGCACATCCAAGGATAAATAGCTGCACGGGTCTTTGGAAACGAAGTTGAAGGATAAAGAGAAGAAGGAACTAGCTATCTTGCTAGAGTTAGAGTGAGACTCTACCATATACCTCTACTTCTACTACATTCCTCCACCTTCCTTCACAAACATGGTCAGAGCTCCTTGTTGTGAAAAAATGGGCTTGAAGAAGGGCCCTTGGGCCCCCGAGGAAGATCAAATCCTCACTTCTTACATCCAAAAACATGGCCATGGCAATTGGCGTGCCCTCCCTAAGCAAGCAGGTATACTACTTCTTCTTCTCCTACTAATACTTCAATTCATTAATATATATCCTATTCACTTTATGACATGTTTAATTTATACCCCATATACTATATGTATATATAACAGGTCTAGCTTTCCCTAGATTTGATGGTTCAATTCACAAAGCATATTGTATATATAATTTGTTCAGGATACTATGTGGTAATGACATGATATGTATATTGATTTTCTTTCTTCTAATTTCTGTGATCAATTACTCAGGCTTGTTAAGGTGTGGAAAGAGCTGCAGACTGCGATGGATTAACTATCTGAGGCCTGATATCAAGAGAGGGAATTTCACATCAGAAGAAGAAGAAACTATCATTAAGCTGCATGACATGCTGGGGAACAGGTATTCATTCATCATTTTTCCTTCCTTGGATCCATATGACATTTTTTCATGCTAATTAAAGCTTGTCAAGTTAAATTAAAGGATCATGCATATGCCACCTATCCTGGTTTACACGTGATGCTCTTTTTTTTTTCTTTCTTTTTTTCTTTTTTTTTTTGGTTAATTTGGTGAAACTATGAATGTGCGGTTGTGTTTCTTTTGCCATGTTTATCTGAAGTGGTGGGGGCCAGGGGCGATAATTGTCAACTTTGAAGAAAATTAAAATGAAAAGGATGCGTTCACTAGTAATATTTTTTCAATAATGGGGACTAAAGTAGAGGTACGATCCCACCTTTGACGGTGCAAGTGATCGATCATACAGAGTGTGGGAGGAATGATGATGATGAAAGATGTATCATACATACATATATACATGTATGACACATGCAGCTAGGTATAACTAATTATGTACATCCAGAAATTGTACTAAGAGTACGTGACAATAAGTTGCCATCATTGAAAGAGAGAAAATCAATTCACAAAACATCATAACCAATGAATAAAAAATAAAAACAAGTGGGTCTGAGACTGCAAGAATCTCTGATTAGATCTGCCTTGCACGAAACATGGTGTGGCAGTTTATGGCACATGCAGCTATAACGTGTGTTAGACGTACATGGCAATATGAGCATTGAGCATGAGATTCACTGTGTCCCCATGTAATCTTCAATTAAGACAACATCAATGCTTGTTGTTTTCTGATCCACCACAATAAACAAAGTGAACGCGAATCTCGTGCAACTATTTCAAGAATATAATATTAACCATGTTGATCCTTATTTTCAGGTGGTCAGCAATTGCAGCAAAATTACCAGGAAGAACCGACAACGAAATAAAAAATGTGTGGCACACCAATTTGAAGAAGAGGCTGCAGAAAACAGATCATCCAAATTCACATTCCAAAAGGGTCACTAGGCCAAAAATTAAACGTTCTGATTCCAATTCCAGCATTATAACTCAATCAGAACCTGCCAATCTTAATTTCAGAGAAATGGACACAACATCAGCATGCACTAGTTCTAGTGATTTTTCATCAGTCACAGTTGGTGATAGCAAAAATATCAAGAGTGAAGACATAGAATCTCTTGAGACAATGCCTGTGATTGACGAGAGTTTTTGGTCAGAAGCTGCAATGGATGAAACCCCCACCATGTCATCACAGTCTTTGACAATCTCAAATGACATGCCACTTCAATACCCTTTTAACTATGAGGAAAGTTTCCAACAGAGTCATGCTTATGATTCAAACTTTGATGATGGCATGGATTTCTGGTATGACATATTCACCAGGACCTCGGATTCAATAGAATTGCCTGAGTTCTGAATTTTTCATATGACACGTTGAATGAGGGTATTATTAAAGTTGGCAGCTAGAATAGTTTAGATGACATGGTAACTTGAACTTGACCGTTACATCAAAAGGGTGTGTTGATTTCCGGTGTGGGGACAGCATTGTCACCAGCTGCAAGATCTAGACTCATCCATTGATGAGAAAACCAGCTACAGAGTAATGGGAAAGGCTAATGATATGTAATGTACACATGTAATCTACAAGTGAAACACTGACTTTGTTATTTAGAGGAAAACAGCAATTCTCTCTAACATTTTTGTATTTTAAATTTTAGTTTTTAATTAGGCTAGAGTTACTTCTTGATTGTAATATCAATAAAGGATGTACTTTGAATGTGAATTGTTCAAAACTTTTATTCCCCTTGTTGAGCTTTCTCGTCCATTTTCTTTCAGTTTTAATAGTATGAGTTTTCACTCAAATGGGTGATCAAATTTGAAAAAGTCCATCGTGAATTTGGTTTTATTGCAACTTGTAAGATATTTGTTAGATGACGGAAAGCAAAATTTTTGGCTGCCAAGGTAACTGTTCATTGGGACATGTGGATGTGGCAGTGGCAGTGGCAGTACGTTTTGGACCACAAATTTCAACCTGCACGTTAAATAGAAACTTAAAATGTAATTAGATATTATTTTAGTATCAAACTAGATCATCATAATAATAAAATAAAAAAAGCTGAACCATAATTTAGCAAACAATTTGAGAATAATTGCATATATACACAAAGGGTGAGTCAAATGCTTGGTAAGGTTAAGGATCAGCCAATGTTGAATATTTAAAAGGATAATGATTCAAAGAAAAAAAGTGGTAAAAAGTAATAATGCGCTGGGAAAACCTCAGTATACTTCAAACAACAAATCCACATCGTATCAAAGAGGTGTAAGAAAATCTATTTATTAACTTAGATCAAGTGAGCTCATCTTATCTTATCTTCACAGTGCTTCAGCACACATCAGTTACAAGTATATATATTAATTTTTTTTATTAATAAGTATTAATGTATGTAGATCTCACACGAGTTCCACTTCCACACATAATGAACGGTGAGCTAAATGTTTGGCCATGAAAAATATTTTCCAATGGAACTGATTGTTACCACTTCAGTGTTTTTAGTGTCTCTTCCATTCAACTTTGTTATTAGATATAAGAAAATGGGCTCTTTTTACTTTTCCGAACCAATCAACCAAGTTGAAGGTATATTATTCGACAAGTTTATTTCTTCATACGACCAGGTGCATGTTTGAAAGACTTCCAAAAATTTGTTGGTCTTCAAACTTAAATCAATTGGCCATTTTGTTTGCGTATCAAACTTGGCAGATGAACAGATGTCATTTTAAAATAAAACTCTTATCAATTATTACTTTTCACTAAAATTTAAAAATAATAGTCAAAAGTAAATAAAATTAGTTAGAATTATTATGTACTATTTTACATTATCTATAATATGAACTTTTGAACATGTTATCTATATTATGTACTAAAATGTTGAACATCCATTTTTTTTTTCTTTTAATTTTTTCTCTTCTTTGTTAACATATAGGAAGGTGTATACCTATAGAGATCTCTTCGTTATATATTGATTCAAGTCTTAATTATAGATTTTTTTTTTATTTGTATATTCCTCAAACATAAGTAGAAGGCTAGCTCTGTAATCCTCTATTTGATTTAAGAAGGAAAGATAAAGTAAAGAAAATGAAAGAAAAGTAAAGGATCGGAAAGAGAGATGATTTTTAAGGTTGTTTGATTGTATAAAAAGTAGAAGGGAAAAACAGAGATATGTATATAAAATGACATAAATATCTCAATTAAAAAATGTATAATAAACAAAGATATCTTTTAATTTTTACTTAAGAAAATTTTATCTTATATTCTTTCTCTATACAATGAGTAGAAATAATATTTGTATGATCCCACCGTTCCTTTTTCTTTTCTTGCTTTCTTTTAACTCAATAAGAGAAAAGGTATTATTGGAGCATTTTCAATTATTGGAGCAAGCATCTAAGGGCACTTAACTTTCGGTTCCTACTAAGAAGACAATTACAATTATTCAATTCTACGATCAATAGTTGAGTTCTTTAAATATATCGTAAAAGTTTGATTATTAATCATATGTGTGGAAAAAAATTTGTTGAAAAAATAATCTATTTCGATAATTTTTACATCTTGAAAGAGTCCAACTACAATTGGAGGATATTAAAGAAAATTATCGCTAATATAAAAAAAAATTAACCTTTTAAGTCTTTTTTTTTGAAAAAAAAAAGTGATAATTGTCAAATATGTTTACATATTTTATTTAATTTAAATAATTATTAATATATTATATGCTTATAAATTTTGTTTTTAACCACAAAACACTTACTCAAGATTTAATTTCAATTTTATAATTTAATTATTTAAATATTAAGTATTTTTTTTAATATTTTTCTTTGTTGAGATATAACATTGAGAGAAATAATTTAGAAGTTACAAATTTCAAAGAAGAACCATAGTTTCAAGCTATATAAAAGACCACTCTAAACTAGTAAAATTTGTTTAGAACAACCAAATTATCATTTGAAAAGAGCAACAATAAAGAGCATCTTTAGAGGATCACACTAGCTCGCTTAGAGCAAGTTACTTGAGCACTTTGAACAAATCAGAATAGAGAGCATCGTTGAAGCATGCATACGCCCGTTTAGAGCGAGTCACTTTAAGAGAGCATATATGACCTAAAAGTCCTTTAAAAAATATTATAAAAATAAGACTCTAGGGGTCTTTGTATTCATTCTTATTCTTCTTAGCATATTTTTAGAGAGATTAGAAAAAGTTCTTATGAGATTCTATTGTTTTAAAGATTAATATAACTGTTATTTAATCTTCTCTGTTTTCATTCAATATATTATTTTTATACAATTAATCTACTTTGTACTTTTTGGCCTATACAAATTTATAATTTTAACCGAAGTTAGAAAACCTTTTTAGAATTACAACTAGATAAAAAAGTTATAATATTTATTATCGAGGAATTGAGATAAACCTTATCGGTTGACTTTTGACATTTGACTTTAATGCAATATTGTTTAACAAAAATTATCAAAAAATTGAGATTTTTCTTAAGTAACTTAAAATTTATCGTCTAAAGAATTAAGATTTAAATATAATTATGAATTGTTGAGTTAATTATATAATTACAATGTTGAATGAAAATTAGAGAGAATTTACGTAGAAAAATTTAATAAAATAAATCTTTAACTATTTTTATCATTATCTAAATTCAAATTGTTTATTGTTTTTTACATGTTTTTCTATAAATTTCTATAATTTATTGTAAACAATTTTAAATTCATTTTATTCACCTAATTATAATATCAAAATTATATTAAATAATTATAAACTAAAATTCCTGTAAATTTAGTATTGAACTTCTATCCTTTTTACTACCTATAACAATCGGTATACTTATCAAATTAATATAAAAAATGACAAAGAATTCAGCACTTTGCAGCAAAGCCAGCAATCATATTGCTAAACATTAAAAAATGGTTGAGAATCTTGTTGGGATATCCTCTGCTAAGCTGCTTGATTATCTAATCTCTATTATGTTCTCAAAATGAGCTCTTTTATTAGTTTATTTCTTTTTGTCTGAGAGCTTGTATAATCAGGAAGATTTCCACTACTTGAGTGCTAGCGTGCTAACCTCAACTTATACATCATTTCAAGTTTATGAAAAAAGGAAATTTGTAAAAGTAAACTCTATTGGTTTAATTTGGAGAGGTTAATACTATAATTACCTACTCTTCTGCCCTGAAAAGGTTATGCTAGAAGAAATACTGTTTATAATCTTGCTTGACAGATGCTAAGATTAAATAATATTTATGTTAATCATAGTTTTCTACAGAAGTGGGTGAAAGCAACTTAATTTCTAAGATGAATAAGTTGTGTCATGCCTACTATGTTTCCTTTGTCATGTATAATAGTTATACACTCACTCTTCTTGTAGAAAACTTTAATGAACGTGTTTGAACTAAAGAATTTGATGCAACTTGCTCTGCTCTCACTCCAGACTGTGTAATTCATCGAATATATCGTTTGCCTTATTTCTCTTATTTAAGTGCTTTAAACTGTAGTTTTCTTCAAGAGTAAAATTCGACCTGTTCTCATGCTTTAATAGCCTTTATTTATGTATAAAAAGACAACATACAGTGTATTTAATTTTTAAAAAATATTTATTAGGCATAGAAAATTGTGCAAGAAGACTTTGTTATAACATTATATATTGTTTTATATCGATGAACATGTGAATCAATTGGTAAAGAATTATTTTAATTTAATTGACAGATTATTCAAATTTTGAATGTTTAATTGTGTTAAATATTTGAAAGTAGAATTTTATTGTTTATAATTATCTTATTTAACTCAAATAAAATATAATTGTCTCTAATAAAAGATGTTTATTATCAAAACTATTATATATATCACTCCTTTATGTTTGTGTACCATCTTATTTTTATTTTATTTTTTTTATTTCAAATTATCCCATTCTTTTTTGAAAAAAAAAATTCAGATGATTTGAAGATAGACAGGAAAGAAAAAATAAATAAAAGTATGGAGAAGAATTATTTTATGAATATTTAGGTTTTACTTGTTTATTATTTTTAAAAATAGTTCGTCTTTTTTAAATATATTTAAAAGTGGTTTATCTCTTGAACATGTTTTTATTTTCTAAAAATTTATCTTGTGATTACTTGAAAAAACACTTATAGAGCACTATTAGAATAAGTTTAAAGGTGAAAAGTTGGAATAATATATATAAAATCTTATATTTATTTTAAGAAAAATAATAGTTAATATATGTATGTTGAAATTTTTTTTTTTGAAGTATCACATGTTAATATTATTTTTAATGAGTTTCAAATAATAGTAGCGACAAAATTTATTATTTTTAATTTTAGAAAGATAAAAATAAATAAATAAGTTAGAATGATCAAAATAAAATTCACCAATTTTAATTATTAAAACATATTTAATTTTTTTAAACAACTTAAAGTGAAATGTGCATTAAAACAAATAATGTCACCTCTTATATATGTAACTAAGTCATTGTATTGCTGAACTTTGTTGGTGCCAGAACTACTAACTTTAAAATAATATTAAAGCTCCGCACTCAAGTCGTGATCCTGGAAAGAAATTAATGTCTTTTGTATCGCACACAACACTCACTAAGTCTTTCTTCTTTCATTTTCTCATACCTTCCTTCGTCCGAGTCCTACCGTGGATAATTTACTCTCTTTTTTTTCTCCAAAGTAAGTCTTCTCGTATATTATTTAATTAAAATCACCATTTTATTTTGATAATCACTGTTTTTATTGTAATAACTAAAATATTA